GACTAAAGGAAATATGCCCTAGAGGCAATAATAAAGTTATTATTTATTTCCTTATATCATGATAAATGTTTATTATTCATGCTAGAATTGTATTAACCAGAAACATAATATATGTGTGAATACATAGACAAACATAGTGTCACTAGTATGCCTCTACTTGACTAGCTTGTTGATCAAAGATGGTTATGTTTCCTAACCATAGACATGTGTTGTCATTTGATTAACGGGATCACATCATTAGGAGAATGATGTGATTGACATGACCCATTCCGTTAGCCTAGCACTTGATCGTTTAGTATGTTGCTATTGCTTTCTTCATGACTTATACATGTTCCTGTAACTATGAGATTATGCAACTCCCGTTTACCGGAGGAACACTTTGGGTGCTACCAAACGTCACAACGTAGCTGAGTGATTATAAAGGAGTACTACAGGTGTCTCCAAAGGTACATGTTGGGTTGGCGTATTTCGAGATTAGGTTTTGTCACTCCGATTGTCGGAGAGGTATCTCTGGGCCCTCTCGGTAATGCACATCACTATAAGCCTTGCAAGCAATGTTACTAATGAGTTAGTTGCGGGATGATGCATTACGTAACGAGTAAAGAGACTTGCCGGTAACGAGATTGAACTAGGTATTGGATACCGACGATCGAATCTCGGGCAAGTAACATACCGATGACAAAGGGAACAACGTATGTTGTTATGCGGTTTGACCGATAAAGATCTTCGTAGAATATGTGGGAGCCAATATGAGCATCCAGGTTCCGCTATTGGTTATTGACCGAGAATAGTTCTAGGTCATGTCTACATTGTTCTCGAACCCGTAGGGTCCGCACGCTTAAGGTTTCGATGACAGTTATATTATGAGTTTATGAGTTTTGATGTACCGAAGGAGTTCGGAGTCCCGGATGAGATCGGGGACATGACGAGGAGTCTCGAAATGGTCGAGACGTAAAGATCGATATATTGGACGACTATATTCGGAGTTCGGAAAGGTTCCGAGTGATTCGGGTATTTTTCGAAGTACCGGAGAGTTACGGGAATTCGCCGGGGAGTATATGGGCCTTATTGGGCCTTACGGGAATAGAGGAGAGAGGCCGAAAGGAAGGAGACGCGCAGCCCCCCTCTGGTCCGAATTGGACAAGGGGTGCAGCCCCCTTTTCCTTCCTCCTCTCCCCCTCTTTCCCCCTTCTCCTACTCCAACAAGGAAGGAGGGAGTCCTATTCCCGGTGGGAGTAGGACTCCCCTTGGCGCGCCCCTACTAGGCCGGCCGCCCCCTCCCCCCTTGCTCCTTTATATACGGGGTCAGGGGGGCACCTCTAGGCACAACAACAATTGATCCCTTGGATCTCTTAGCCGTGTGCGGTGCCCCCTCCACCATAATCCACCTCGATAATATCGTAGCGGTGCTTAGACGAAGCCCTGCGTCGGTAGTACATCAAGATCGTCACCACGCCGTCGTGCTGATGAAACTCTCCCTCGACACTCGGCTGGATCAGAGTTCGAGGGACGTCATCGAGCTGAACGTGTGCTAGAACTCGGAGGTGCCGTAGTGTTGGTGCTTGATCGGTCGGGCCGTGAAGACGTACGACTACATCAACCGCGTTGTTCTAACGCTTCCACTTTCGGTCTACGAGGGTACGTGGACACACTCTCCCCTCTCGTTGCTATGCATCACCATGATCTTGCGTGTGCGTAGGAAATTTTTCGAAATTACTACGTTCCCCAACATAGACTTCGGATCGCCTTCCTACTGGTTTTCTTCTCGGTCTTCCCAACTAGGGGAAACCTCAAAGCAAACAACAGAGCAACACCTATCTTTTTTATTTAAGCACTGAACATCCGGATCCCCTTCCGACTTGCTTTTCTGGGCACTGGTCTTTCTAACAACTGGAACTCGTCTCCCTTTTCCTGATTCGCATCTTCTTCGGCTTTTGCTACGGTCTTTCCTTCAGTCAGTCCTTCCTTCAAGATTTTTGCCTGCGGATCTCTCTCTTCAAAACATATATATCTTTCGGCGCCAGTCTTTCCAGCCTTACCTTAACCCCGCTTTCACGTGGCGAATCAGTATGAGGTTTCAGTGGTCACTTTACGGTATTCTTTAAGCTTTCTTGGTCACCGGATAGAGTGAGAACTGCTCAGCTTGCTTTCTTTCCCTAGCACACACTTAGTAGATAGTAGGCACAGGTCCACTAAGAGCTCATCGAACTTGACTTGTAGAGTGAGACCTATGCTAGATATGGTTCATTTCAGTGCTCTTTCTCTCGGTATCGTTCACCACATGCCTGTGATCGATCTCTCTCAAGCTAGGTTTGGTATCGGTATCGGTGAAGTCCGTCATTGAATTGAAGTGGTAGAGTGGTAAGTGGGCGTACGGTCTATGTATTTCCTATCAGTGGCATTAGTTCCTTTTCATTCTCTAGATAGATGGGCAGAACAAGCTTCTCTTTATACTCTATTCTAGAAAGGATCAATTAGATTCTCATCTCCTATTTGTTTGAGCCATTCATTATAGTGGTGGTGCCGGGAAGGCAGCTTAGCACTCTAGTCCTTTTGAGTAAGGAATTGTAGCATGGCAGGCAATCTCTTCGATTGATTCCCCTCCAGGAATTACTTGAATTAATTAGCCGGCCCACGGAGTGAAATATCAAACTTAACCTATAAATAACTAGTATCTCAAAAACCAAATAAAAGGCTTTCTTTTAAGCTTGTTAATGGAATTCCACAGGAGTCAAGCGCTAGCAAAGAAGAATTGGAAATCAGTCGCTTCCCTTCTGGACTCAAGTCAGCAGAAGAGTGAACTTCATATTAATAGGTAAATCCTACATCAAGCATAAAGGAAGTACACTTTTTTTGATTCAGCGCTTAATAACTCGTACTTGACATTGGTTTCGGTTCGATCAACTATCCTTTTTGAAGCAGATAGTTCACAGTGCTCATTCTCAAAAAAAGCGGAAAAGCCATGATGTTTCCACTCCATTTTCATTACGAAGATGTATTACGTCAGGATCTATTGCTCAAACTGAATCACGCCAATCTTATGGAAGTTCCTGGATTGTTTGAAATAAGATTAGTACCAAAAGCTGCCTCTGATTTAAGAATCCAATTTGGAAAATTGGCTATGGAGATTTTGTGCGGCCTGAGATTCATACAGACACAAAGGGGCCCCTATTTTCAAGCAAGAAAGTCGTTTCGATCCAATCCATTCTTGGGGTCCGAAAAAGACACTGGATATGTCAGTGACTTTGCATGACAAAGCGTTCTCCGAGGGCATGGAATGTACCATTTTTTGGTCAGAATATTTACAGTAATGTCTATGTTGGATTCTCCGGTCTAAATACGGGAAAACTCCATCAAATTCTTTATGGAAACGGAGTTTTGCGAATTCTCCCTGAAACTGGAAGATCATTTCGAGATCTTCGAGCATATTCGAGGGTTCAATGTGACTATTGTCACTTCGGCCAATACAAAAGATGAGACTTTACTACTGTGGAGCGGCTTTTTGCTAAAAGATGAGGGGGAAACTAAGTAAGATGTCGGAGAAGCAACGAAATATACGAGATCACAAACGTAGATTGCTCGCGGCTAAATATGAATTGAGACGAAAGCTTTCGAATTTTGTAACCCGATCTTCCGTCTGATATGCGGGACAAACATCGTTATAAGTTGTCCAAGTTGCCAAGAAAGAGTTCAATGGCACGAGTAAGAAACCGAGGTATTTTCACGGGTCGCCCTCGTTCCACAGTTGAGTTCTTTCGCATTTCTCATATCGTTTTTCGTGGATTAGCATCTCGAGGTTCTTTGATGGGCATAAAGAAATCATCTTGGTAGCAACCACCAAACCAATAGAACAAAGGTTAGCTCTGCAGCTAGTCCACAAGCAAGGGTTGTATGTCCATTACCATCCGGCTCCCAACCGAAACTAACGGAGTCATCCCAACTCTCGGATCGGAGATGCTAACGGGATAGGAATCGAAGTGGGGGACCTCTCTACCGCACCTGTCTCCCCAGACATAGACTACGTAAAGGGTAGTACTCTTGGAAAGAGAGAAGATCACCGTGTGAACAAAATTCAAAGTAACGAATGTCACTCCCGAGGGATCGACCACTATCATACATGAAATTTTGCATAGAATGATTGTTCATGTTCACGCCGGAGTGCTGAGGTTGTTCCCACCATTGAAGTCAGAGTCTGGGTGTGTTTTTCTTACTAATACGGAGAGGGTTCCGAATGATAAAGACCAATCAAAAACTTCTTCGTTTTGTTGGTAGAACCCACGCCAACTCTTTTCTCTAAATAATAGAGAGATCTTTTGATAGTCTCACTTCTATCAATGCAATGAAAGAACTATCCCTTCCTATTTGTTTGTCCTAATGAGACAAAAAAGAGCCTTCTTCTTTACCACCTTAGGGGATGGGGGTGAAGGGGGGTTTACATACAACCGGGGCAAAGTGGTTTATGATTGAATCTCAGTGGCATTCTAATAATTTGGTAGATCCAAGTCCATGGCCTATTTCGGGTTCACTCGGAGCTTTGGCAACCACCGTAGGAGGTGTGATTTACATGCACTCATTTCAAGGGGGTGCAACACTTCTCAGTTTGGGCCTAATATTTATCCTTTATACCATGTTCGGATGGTGGCGGGATGTTCTACGTGAATCCACGTTGGAAGGGCATCATACAAAAGCTGTACAATTAGGACCTCGATATGGTTCTATTCTCTTCATAGTCTCAGAGGTTATGTTCCTTTTTGCTTTTTTGGGCTTCTTCTCATTCTTCTTTGGCACCTACGACAGAGATCGGAGGTATTTGGCCCCCAAAAGGGATTGGGGTTTTAGATCCTTGGGAAATCCCTCTTCTTAATACCCCTATTCTCCCTTCATCTGGAGCTGCCGTAACTTGGGCTCATCATGCTATACTCGCGGGGAAGGAAAAATGAGCAGTTTACGCTTTAGTAGCAACTGTTTCACTGGCTCTAGTATCCACTGGCTTTCAAGGAATGGAATATTACCAAGCACCCTCCACTATTTCAGATAGTATTTATGGTTCTACCTTTTTCTTAGCAACTGGCTTTCATGGTTTTCATGTGATTATAGGTACTCTTTTCTTGATCGTATGTGGTATTCGCCAATATCTTGGTCATCTGACCAAGAAGCATCATGTTGGCTTTGAAGCAACTGCATGGTACTGGCATTTTGTAGACGTGGTTCGGTTATTCCCATTTGTCTCTATCTATTGGTGGGGAGGTATATGAAAGAAGGGAACGAATAAGTGGATTGAGGAATAAAAGCTCGAAGACAAAGAGAACTTCTCCGGGTACTCAAGATATTGTGTTTGGAGAGGTGTAGATTGTAGATTCCAGCCGAGCCAGACCCAGGAAGAATACGAAGTCCAATTTCCTCAACCGCGCATATGGATAAGACGCGAGACAGTTTCTGAGGGATAGAAGTCTTGATCGGGCCAAGCCGACATAACAGTTAGTAGTTCACATTACTTTCTCTTCCAAAGCGCGCACATTTGAGTTCAGTATGGATGCACTGAGCGCTTAAGACCACTCGCTGGATGATATGGTCAACCATACTCTAGAGTGGGGACAGCATAACAATAACATTCTCTCTTTAGATTCGAGATGTATTGATCGAGACGTGCCTCACTCTAGTGAGGATTTGAGCTCCCCGATAGATATAGGGCCCGCTCGATACGCTGTCATTGTTTAGGGGGGTTCTTAATTCTAGCATGAAAGTCCAAGTTGGAGGAATGATATTGGGCTTGAGAAGTGAGCAAGGAACCTGACATAACATTCCTATGGTTCCTCTGTCCCGGTCTTGCACCACTCTCATATCCATCAATCAATTTCATAGATAGTTACTATGGTTGTTTCTTCCTCCATTCACTAAAGCAAATGAAGCCTTTCCCTCCTCGAGTCAGCAAGCCAACTCGAGCGTTTTACCCTCATGTCACTAGCGCAACATGAGCCATTCAAAAAAAAGTCTTGGAACTGAAGAGAAATCCATCTCTATACAAACTCTTTATGTTCTTGATATTGATTGAGTTACGAGAATGAAGAAGCGTAGCACACCTTTTCTCTCAATTCAAGTTTCCATTCAATAAGTGCATCAAGTATGTCGTATAGAAAGAAAAGGAACCACTTCTCTTCTCTTAAGTATATGAAAAATAGCTTTTTGGTCCCTTTCGTCCAGAGGTTAGGACATCGTCTTTTCATGTCGAAGACATGGGTTTGATTCCCGTAAGGGATAGGTACTTATTCCCAGCCGGCGGTATCAAGAACCCGGATAGTCAGTAGGAAACTCCAATCTGCAAGCAGAACAACGAGTTTAGAAGGCACGTTCTTGAAAGAGCAGGCTGACTATGAAACTCATATAAGGCTCACGATCGGGTGCATTGTTGACTCGGGGGCGGTTCCATAGGCGGCTACTCTAAGACGGATCAAGTTGGGCTATATATTATGGCAAGTTGACCCTACTTTCCAATTTCGTAGATAGAACAGTTTTAGTAGAAGGTTAACCCGGCCTTCCTAAGAGTACTAGGTTAAAGGGGAGACCTCTAAAGCCCAGAAAGAACTATCCTATCCCTTTAGGAATCCAAAAGCGCCGTATCTGTGGATCACTGACGGCTATACCCAATAAGCAAAGTAGAAAGAGCCTAGGAAAATGCATCTTCTCCCTATTCAGTCAGCAGTTGTCCATCGACTAGTCTTACTTACCACACCGCTCGGCAAAAAGGGATTTCTCAGTGATAGACCAACGAGAGCGTGTGTGCCAGTGACAAAAGAAGTGCGAGACGATCTGGGAAGTGAGGGATGACCTTCCTGGGTATCACGAGCGGCGAGGAAGGTACGGCTGGAGGAAAAGCAAGGCAACAGGGTGCTAGGTTTAAGCAAGTATTGTCCGTCCGATCATTGGAATCGGCTTAGCCGAAAAAGGCAGATCTGGTTTCACTAGTAGGAAGAACACCCTTCTAAGGTGAAGGTATTCCATTTCTAAGAAGGAAGTTCTATATATTCGAACTAGAGATAAGCTCTAAAATGGAAATCGAAAAGGAACCCCTTGTCCGTCCAGGTACTCACCCCGCCGGAACTCGCAATCAAACACAAGGTCGGCAAACTAGGAAGGCACAAAAAAGAAGGCAGTTGCGAAGGCGAGCAAGGCATTTTTGAATTTCCTCAAATTGATTCATCAATGAAGTAGTTGAATTGAAGTAAATGTGCCTACGAAAGAAGAGTTTTCGATATGGATATGCGAACAGGAAGAAAGCAAGCATATATTACTATTGCATTGGCAACGAACACCGTCAAACAAAGATAGCTGTTGAGGAGGAAGACCTAGATAGGGAGCCGATTACGAATAAACCTGGGACTAGGAAACCCCAAACTACGAATGGAAACACTTTTTCAAGCAGGGGTAAACAGATCTGGTTAGGAAGCCGGAGATGGAAGAGAGGGTGTTGTGTCGGATCTTCAATCGGGGCAAACAACGGATGCTCGGGATAAAGCTGGACTTCGATTGGTTTTTGATGGATATGAGCTTTCCCTGAATAAGGATCAAAATATGCTTCCTAAAATAGCATGCGCAATGGTGGGCCGAGTACACAGCATAGCGTATATCAAGTATCCAACGCCTTCCGAATAAGGAATGGAAGCCGACTTAATAAAACTACATCTTGCTTATGTAGGTGTAGACAGGTATTCTAAAAGGAGTGACAATATTGGGTGTAAGGATTCTTCTATGCAAACATTGACCACTCGTATGGTAGCCTCACAACCATCTACAAGGGAGACTTCCACCTCAACCTGAAGTTCACCCACGTGGAGCCTTTACTAGTCGGAGTGGTAAGACTACAACCGATCCTCTTCCCCAATGCCAGCGTTGTATGTACCACCTGCCTTCTACCCTAGCCGGCCCAATACCTTCTCCGCAGGGACCTCAATAGTCCACTACTTCTGCTGCACAGCCTAGTTCTTCTACACCAGCAGCTATTGCTCCTAATGATCCATCATCAATCTGCTTCACCTGTCAACCCGAAGTTGCCATTTCCAGAACGGTTTGTGAAGTCAACTGAAGACAAGCAGATTGCAAAGTTTCTGGATATGATGACAGATATGCAGATTACCACCCCCATCCTTGATGGTGTCTTACAGGTGCCGATGTATACACAGTTCTTTAAGGACCAGCTCGCAAAGAAGCGAAACATTAACGAGCCAGAACTGGTTACTCTTACTAAGGAATGTAGTGCACTCGTTCAAATAAGCTACCTCTCAACTTAGATGAGCCTGCCAGTTTCAGTATTCCATGCTTGATAGGAAGTCAAACTTTCCATGCTTTATGTGGTCTTGGGTCTACTGTGATTCCCTTCACTGTCTACGAGCCACTACCATTGGGTGATGTACGGCCGACTAGCATCACTCTCCACCTTGCTGATCAGGATCCGGCAGACATTTTGGGTGATATCCCTGCGATAGTTGGTAACTTCGCATTTCCAGTTGATTTTGTTGTCTTGGAGATGTAGGATAAGAGCTTTCCTATTTTTTGGGAGACCTTTTCTAGCTACTGCAGGGGCTGTCATCGATGTGAAAGATGCTAAGCTCACGCTTCAATTTGGTGAGGAGAAAGTCTCATTTGACATTAGGTATATCTTCCAACTCACCTTCCTCACTGTCCAGACCATAGTAAGCAATATGAAACGAGTCACTTAAGCCCTAGTAAAAGGCTACTCTTTGAATCCCCTCTTTAAGGCATATAAAATTAGTACTCTTCCTGAGCTAGCTTAAGCATATCTCGAGCGAGTGAGTTTCCCTCCATCAAGTTCTAAGCGATCAAATAAGGTCCCTGCTCTCGAGCCAATGCCAATACCAATAGAGAGGGTCTAAATGAAGGATTCAAAGGAGGTTACTGGTTAAGGGCAAATGCAATCTCTGAGCTAGTTGGAGAAAAAAGGTAATCAAAGAAAGTTTCAGTTGGACTTTCCCTACCAACCCTACCCAAATTTGATGCCCTGCGGTTTTCGTTCCTCTATTGATATTTCGTTCCTCGAATCGAGACTTTCTTTGTCGAGGATCTCTGGTTTAGGGTACTCCATCGAGTTTCAGTTTCTTCTTCTAATGGATGTGTCACTCTAAGGTGGCTATTTGAGCAATTTAAGTATCGCGGTTGTCTTGGGCTCTGGATTGATGGACGGAAACTCGGGGCTGGGTTCGATTTCAACTCGGAGATAGCCGGGTCTATAGTAAGAGCCGCTTTGTGAACAACATCAGATGACATAGCCAGGGTAGCCGCAATAGAGCAATTATGCCTTAAGCCCAAAACTCTTCCTTCTAGGGATCAGATCAACCTAAAGTACCATCAGTTGTGGATTCATCCACAAAGTCTTTCTACTTACTCGTCAAGCGAAGTAGCTATCAACGGCTTTAGCATGACAACTAGAACATCAAGCCATGTTAAACTGCCAAAGCTTCTGCTGTAGTGTAGCACCAGGGTTCAGCCGTCTCCTTGCCGAATTGCATCGCCCGCATCGTGTTCAATTGGAAAGTCTGGCAAAGGCGCTTCCAACTCCTGGTTCAGGGTCTGAGGTTACCAAACAAAGATGAATCCTGCGCAATCAGAGATTAAGCCATAAGATCCCACCTAGAAACTGGAAGAGTCGGGGGCACCTATCGAAGGAGTCTTCCCTCCATCGATTCAATGACAAAATAGCTCTATTGAGAGGGCCTTTGACAACCCTCTTGAATGTGGCTCACTCCTAGTTTTTCTTCCCCTGCCCGTTCGATCTAGGCTGGTGGCTATACCAGATTTCGTGTCTGATCGAACTTGAAACTAGCCCATTGAGCTTCTTGGATTCCAAACCAGAAAGAAGGATCGCACATAAGAAAATAGAGTTGGAATGAAAGATGGGGTAAAGATGAACTTTATTCTCCTAGCTACTCTCCATCCAGCAAGTTACTCTCTTTCAAAAGATGACAACTCAAGATTACCAATCAAAACCAACGCTTTTTCTTCTCCTATAGCTTCATCATTACATCTTTCACTAGTTGTTGGATGTGAGTGATGAGATCGATCCATGGAATTTTTACCTCACTCACATACTTTGGAAGATGAAGAAATTCTCTTGAATTTACTTATGGGCTAGCTCTACATGTGGTCAGATGGGTTCCCCTCTTCAGTCATTTGGTACCTCTCCAACACTTCCTCCTATTCCTATTGATCAGATCAAAGCCAAACCTATCTAGTCTTGTCACCC